TCATCCAGCAGATCAACCAACAGATCAACCAACAGGTGATCCAGCAGATCAATCAACAGATCAACCAACAGGTCATCCAGCAGATCAACCAACAGGTCATCCAGCAGATCAACCAACAGGTCATCCAGCAGATCAACCAACAGATCAACCAACAGATCAGCCAACAAATCAACCAACAGGTCATCCAACAGATCAATCAACAGATCAACCAACAGGTCATCCAGCAGATCAACCAACAGATCAATCAACAGATCAACCAACAGATCAATCAACAGATCAACCAACAGATCAATCAACAGATCAACCAACAGATCAGCCAACAAATCAGCCTGCAGATCAACCAACAAATCAGCCTGCAGATCAACCAACAGATCAACCGCTCACCCAGCCGCCCGTGGAGGTATCCGAAAAAGCTGCAGCGGCTGCGGTGAGAAACCCGAACGAAATAGAAGCGAAGTGCTCGCAGCTTAAAGACCAAGACGGAGTGAAAATCACGGGGCCCTGCGGGGCGAAGTTTCAGATGTTCCTCGTCCCGCACGTAACCATAAATGTAGAAACAGAGACGAACACAATTTATATAGGAAAAAAACTTGACGATGTCATAATCACGAAGAAACAACACAAGGTGGTTAGCGGCAAGTCATCCCCCTTGTTACAGTTTGAGGAGAATTCCAACTTACTCCTTAACCAATGCGTAAACGGGAAGACGTTTAAATTTGTGGTGATCGTTAAGGGGGAAGAGATCATCCTCAAGTGGAAGGTGTACGAAAAACGTCCCTCAGAAACCGACAGTAATGGAAAAAAAAAAAAAAAAAAGATCTCGGCGAAGCGGCTGACCTGAAGTGGCCGTACAGTGCGCTCGTCTTACCCCCAGTTTTTTATATAATTCTCTGCTTTACTGATTATTTTTTTTTTTTGTCCTCCCCTTCAGATGATAAAGTCGACGTGAGGACATTCGTCTTGAAGAATACAGATAGACCAATCACCGCCATACAGGTGCACACGGCAAAAGGAAACGAAGACTCCTTCCTTTTAGAAAGCAAGTCATACTTTTTAAAGGATGACATGCCGGCCAAATGTGACCTAATAGCTACGAACTGTTTCCTCAGTGGCAATTTAGACATCGAAGCATGTTACAAGTGCACCGTATTGTCCGAAAACACTGAATTGGACAGCCCTTGCTTTAGTTACCTCCCTGACGATGTTAAGCATAACTATGAAAAGATAAAAAGGAAGGCGCAGCAAAATGGGGACCCGAAGGAGGTCCAATTTGCAGTGTCTATTGGGAACATCCTCCAAGGAATGTACAAACTGGGAGAAACGGGTCTCAATGAGTTGCTCAGCTTCGACGAAGCAGATACATCTTTGAAAGCGGAATTGCTGAATTATTGCGCCTCGATGAAGGAGGTGGACGCCAGTGGAGTGCTGGACAGCTACGAGTTGGGCACTGAAGAAGACGTGTTTGCGAATCTAACGAGAATTTTGAGGAACCATGCAGGCGAAACGAAGTCTATGTTACAAAACAAGCTGAAGAATCCCGCTATATGCTTGAAAAATGCCGACGACTGGGTGGAGAGAAAAAAAGGACTTCTACTTCCGAGCTTGTCTCATACCCATGTGGAAGCTACCCCCCCCGCTAATGCCCAAGAAGAGGAAACGAAAAAGGAAGACACACCCGAGGGAAGCGAAAAAATACAAACTAACGGTTACAATAGCGTTATCAATTTTGTCTCAAGCGAAGAGACGAACATGCAGTCCACCAGTTTTATTGACAACATGTTCTGCAACGATGAGTACTGCGATAGGACAAAGGACACCAACAGCTGCATGGCGAAGATTGAGGCAGAGGATCAGGGTGTGTGCGCCACGTCCTGGGTTTTCGCCTCGAAGATGCACCTAGAAACGATAAGGTGCATGAAAGGGCACGACCATGTTGCAAGTTCTGCCCTGTACGTGGCTAACTGTTCCAATAATGAAGATAAGGACAAGTGTCAAGCTCCGTCGAACCCGCTAGAATTTTTGGACATCCTAGAGGAGACAAAATTTTTGCCAGCCGAGTCGGACCTCCCATACTCTTACACATCGGTGAATAACGTCTGTCCTGAGCTAAAGAGCCACTGGAAAAACCTTTGGGCCAATGTGAAGCTCTTAGACCCGCACAATGAACCAACCTCGGTGAGCACGAAGGGGTACACTGCCTACCAGAGCGATCACTTCAAGGGAAACATGGACGCGTTTATCAAATTGGTAAAATCCGAAGTGATGAACAAAGGATCCGTCATCGCGTATGTCAAAGCGACAGGAGCACTCAGTTACGACCTGAACGGGAAGAAGGTGCTCTCTCTGTGTGGAGATGAGACACCCGACATCGCTGTCAACATAATAGGCTATGGTAACTACATAAACGGGGAAGGAGTGAAGAAGTCCTACTGGTTGCTACGTAACAGCTGGGGAAAGCACTGGGGCGACCACGGACACTTCAAGGTCGACATGTATGGTCCGCCTGGATGCGAGCACAACTTCATTCACACCGCTGCTATCTTCAACGTGGACGTTCCCCTGTTGGAGAACCTCGAAAAAAAGAGACCAATGTTGTATAATTACTATATGAAGAGCTCGCCCGATTTTTACAACCATATCTTATATAAAGGGGTCCAAACAGAGGAGGATCGAGAAATGGGGATAAGTCCAGAAGACAAGATGATCAGTCCTGTTGTTTCTGCACAGAAATCTGAAGCAGATACTTTGAACGGTGCGGAGAAGTCCTCTGTAGTGGTAGAGGGAAAGGAAAATCCTGCTGTAGGAGTGGGCGAATCCACACAGGAAGTTGAATCGCCACTCGAGGCAGTAACAGACAAGTCAAAAGAAGCAGAACAACAGGACGAAGAGGAGGCAGACGAGGAATCGGAAGAAGAGCGCAAGGATAAAGCGGAGGAGGAAATGCAGGGTGAAGAGCAGGAAGAAGGGGATGATGAGGAATGGGAAGAAGAGGGCGAGGATGAAGCGGAGGAAGAGGCGGAGGAGGAGGAAGAAGCCGAGGAGGAGGAAGAGGAGGAAGAGGCGGAAGAGGCGGAGGAGGAGGAAGAGGCGGAAGAAGAGGAAGAGGCGGAAGAGGAGGAGGAGGAGGACGACGACGAGGAACCAGAAGAGGCAGGAGTAGAACCGGAAGAACGAGGAGCAGACCCAGAACAGGCAGGAGCAGAACCGGAAGAGGAAGGAGCAAAATTGGAAGAGGGAGGAGGAAAATCGGAAGAGGGAGGAGGAAAATCGGAAGAGAGAGGAGCAAAATCGGAGGAGGGAGGAGCAAAATCGGAAGAGGGAGGAGCAAAATCGGAAGAGGGAGGAGCAAAACCAGAAGAGGGAGGAGCAAAATCGGAAGAGGGAGGAGCAAAACCAGAAGAGGGAGGAGCAAAACGAGAAGAGGGAGGAGCAAAACCAGAAGAGGGAGACTCCGAAACAGCGAAGAAAGGCATGGAAGCAGAGGAACCAAGCAAGGTAGCCGTGTCAGATGCATCTCCAGAAGGAGTGAAGGGACCACAAACCGTAGCGTCGCCGAGCGCGTCTGTCAACCCAACACCGCCCCCCTCTTCAACACCTGCGCCAACGCGTAAGACCTCACTCATTAAAGTTAAACAGATAATGGAAGTGATTCATATTATAAAACACATAAAAAATGGAAAGCTGAGGTTAGGCATAGCAACATACGAAGATGACTTGAGCATTGCAAACAAGCACGATTGTTCCAGGTCTTATTCTAGGGACCCAAAGAAGCTACCCGAGTGCATACGATTCTGTCATGATGAATGGAATAACTGCAACGGAGAATTCTCCCCAGGCTATTGCCTGAATCAACGGAGAAGAAAAAACGACTGTTTTTTCTGCTACGTGTAAAATATTGTAATGTGGGCAACTGAGGGAGGATAGATATAGAAGTCTTTTGTTCAGTTCTCGCAGGAGAGAGGGCGGCCGCAGATATTGTGTTGACACTGCCTTCACCTTGACATATCAAAGGGAAAGGGTGCCAACTATTTATTTGACGTTGTAATCGCGGAGGGATTCCTTTTCCCTCCTTTTTGTGCAGCTTGCAGAGCGCGTCGTATTTTTACAATTGTCTTTTTTTTTTTTCTGATTTTTTGGGATTTTTTCATTTTTTTTAATTTTTTGATTTTTTTAATTTCTTTATTCTTTGATTTTTTAATTTCTTTATTCTTTGATTTTTTAATTTTTTTAATTTTTTGTGTAACTTTTTTTCACACTTTTTTTCCGCTGTTTATCCTATTTTACTAAATTCGCCAAGAATAAAACTGCGGGACAGAGCGGTTTAATTTTATTTTATCGCCCTTATTGGAGCCACGTGGGCTTTGGACCCATGGGTGGAGGGGTGGCGTATGTCATATGGGTCACCATGTTAGTAGCGCATCATCCGAAGCTAGCCGTCTTCCCTGGGTGCGCGCGGAGGTGTACAATTTAGTGGACGCACACATGGTGGGAGGGGGAAGTTTTGGCTAAGGAGGCTTATCTCCCCCATCGATTAGCACAAAATTACGAAAGCGTGGAGGTTGCTCACTTAAACGTACATATGTAGATACAACTGTGTGACTGTGTGTTCCCCGCAGGTGTCTATGCATGCATGTGTATACCCCCCTCTGCATCTGGTACTTATTCCCTTTCGTAGAAGTCACAACTGGTTTCCTCCCAAGCTCAGGATAAACGCTCTTACGACACGGCAGCTGCTAAAGAGGAATCCAAACTATTTAACTTCTATTTGGAGGGCCTCCACATCCTTCAGCGCAACTTTTGTTTTAGCTGCCTCACTGGAGAGGATACTGCTAAGGTGGTTCAATAAAGGGGGCACCCCCCGTGTGAGGGTCTTCCCTTTACAACTCAGTCGCTGCAGCTGAGCAGGGGATGTGTCCCAATAGGAGACCAACAGATTGGACAGACTAGAAGGAAGAGTGCAACTACCAAACGGTATTGCGTAGTAGTCGAGTCGGAAGTAGGATAAGAGGCAGAAGGAGTAAGGACCTGTATCGGCTCAATAATGAAGAGGAACACCGTGGAAAGGAAGGCAACCGGAGAGATACGACCGCATATGTGCCCCCTTCGAAGCATACCCACCATATGCTAGGGCGAGATGGAACTTGGTGACATAAGGCATTCGGAGTGCTATGGGCAGAGCTCACGCTTGCTCAAGATCCCGCTTTCTCAAGGTCACACTTTCTCAAAATCTCGTTTAGCATCCCCGGAGAAGAATCCCGAGTGGGTTTACCTTTTACAGCGAGGAATGGGTAGAACATGCACAGATGAGCCACCTCCCGGTAAATATGCCAACAAGACAGACGAAGGAATGGTTGCACCTTTTGTTACGCACAAGGGGATCACATTAAGTTGCGGGGGTTAAGAACGCGCTGCTTTGATATCGCTAATCATCCAACGTGAAAATAAGGTTTCTATATTTAACTCTTAAAGGATGCGAAACTGGTTTGCTTTCCCGTGGTGCGTTTATCCGTTCCGATTCAGTTGCATGCCTTGTCGAGACTTAAGGAAGTGTGAGTTGGTCGGGAGCAAGCAGACGTTCGCTTGGTTGCGTTTCCAGATGCTTCTTCGCGTTTTATGGCTTTCTGCAACATTTCTCAATGTTTTGTAATACCTTGTAACACTTTTTAATTTTTTTTATTTTTTTCAAAATTCCCCTGTCTTTCTCTCCCCCGAGGAAAACAGGACAACTTATCTGAGCTTCGCAATTTTGGCCCCTAAGAGCACTCCTCCCTTGGTGCAAATGAAAAGGATACCGAGTAAAAAATAAAACAATGATGAAAGTGACAATAAGAGTGGTAACAATAATAAATATCGCTAATGATAAGAGTGCCCTGCTGTGGAGCAGAGTACACAGGGGGAGAAACGCTACATGAATTACTAGCTTCCTTCCCCTTAGTGTGCAGGCGTTTCCCCTTCAGCGTTTCGTTAGACACCTCTCCCCCAGGTTGGTTTATTTGGCGGGGGCGGCCGCCGCTGAAAAGAGACTTCAGAGCTAAAAAGATTGCTTCTGAGCTTACTGCACTAAGCAGGCAACTTGGTCCCATATCGTAATCGTCCCCCCGAATTTGTCATCATCCTCCTGTTCACGTGACCGTTACTGCATCAGTGTTACTTTGCTTTGTTTCGATTTGTTTCGCTTTATTTGGCATTGCTTCGCTCTACTTCGCATTGTTTCGCTTTATTTTGCATTTTTTTCCCCTTTTCTCCAGCGAAATGCCCAACTAAGTTGCCACATTTACGGTTCATGAACAGAACAAACTTGCTTGTTGGTCAAAAGAATGGTCGATTAACCCTGCGCTGAAGTTACACCCCCTCGTCCAGAGCCACATACCATCGAAATTTTCTTGCGCCAAGGATAATTCTTCGGCTTTTTTTACCATCACCCGTATGCTGCAACATGAGGGCTCGCATCTATGCCCTTCTGCTAATAGGTAACAATGAGGGGAAAGACACCCAAAGAGAAAGAAACTTACACTGGGAAAATATTATGCGTTACTGGTTGCGCATAATGATGAGTCCCTGTGCTAATTTTTTCTTTGCATCCCAAAAGGGAGCCCCCTTCGTATTCTTCTTCTTCATCATCTTCTTCTTCGTCTTCTTCCCTTCACCATGGTGTTGCACACTGGGGAGCTAAATGCCTCCTCAGCAGGGACCACACCTGTGTGCACACTTCTGCTGCAGAAGGAGAACGATCAGGAATGCTCCAAATTTGTGTCCTCCGAAATTAAAAACCGACTTGACGATATGCAAGCCAAAGGAGAGGACGAGCAAGATCCAGACGAAGTGGAACCGGAACAATCTATTCATAGCATTCTGGACAAAATGTACAATAATGTGGAAGGAGGGAATAATGAGGTTAGCCATTTGGCCATCTTGGACGCCACCCTCAAGGAAGAATTGCTAAGGTACTGTGACCTAATGAAAGCGATGGATACCAGTGGGCTGCTCGAAAACTACGAGATGGGTAGTGCAGATGATGTGTTTTCCCACATAGCAAACATGCTAGAGAAGAATGGTGATTATGTCGTCTCTTCGTTGTCAAATAGAATGAAGAACACGGCCATATGTTTAAAAGGTCCAGACGAGTGAGTGGAACGCAAAACCAGGCTGTTGCTTCCCATCTTGTCGTTTCCCTATTTGGTCCATAAGAACGTACAAGATGCCGAAAACTCGTTAGAGACAACTGCAGATGGAACGCCTGCCTTCAAAGAAGACGAGGATGGAATCATCGATTTGAACACTCTGCACTGTATATGGACAAGCGGATGGTCCAGAGGTGACTGCTGAAGAGGGAAGAAAAGTAGCAGAGAGTAAGGCCACCCAATCAAGAGGTGAAGCCGCAGGAGATTGATCCGCTTCAAGATCAACTCAGACAGGAACGGACTCAGGACAGGGAGCAGGAACAGAAATAGGAACTGTTGATGGAAGGAGGATCAACGCCGGTCGTAAATCCAAAAGCACAAAGGGCAGGACTCCCTGCAGGACCAAGACCATTGACAGAGACATCCGCACCAACCGTACAAATCGTACCACCCGTACAAATCGTACCAACCGTACCACCGACACCACCCGTATCTGGCACCCGGACTAATAGCACCTCAGCAACCGGCGAGTCCGAGATGAAAGAAGTCCTTCAAATTCTGAAGCATATTAAAAACGGCAAGGTAAAATTAGGCCTAGTCGCATACGACACGGAGAAGCCGATTGGCGTGGAGAAGGTTTGCTCCAGAGCGTATGCCGTGGACCATCAGAAGCAAGAAGAGTGCGTTGAGTTTTGTGAAGCAAACAGGGAGGCATGCAAGTGTAAAGTGTCTCCTGGGTACTGTTTGACGATGAAGAGAGGAACTAATGACTGCTTCTTTTCCTTTGTGTGAGTTGGGGAGGGTGGTCACGCGAGAGAAAAAACGAATGCCTAGGTGCCCACTTCTGCATCCAAGAATGGGGGCACGCAGTAGGTACGTATGTATGAGCAGCTTCCCTGGCGATTGAGCAGGACGCTTGTCCAATCACAGCCCCAGTGAAAGTATGGACCCACCACCTTTATGCATCTCCCGGTGCTCTCTTTTTAGGATTATCCATATTTTATGTAAGTGAATTATGTCCTAAGCATTTCGAAGACATTTATTTTTTCCCCTTCCCTTTTTCACATGCGTTTTTTTTTTGCCTTCTTTTTTTACATGCCCTTTTTTTGACCTCTCTTTTTTACGTGCCCTTTTTTGGGCCTTCTTTTTTTTCACGCCCTTTCTTTACACACGTTTAGTAAAAATCTGCCAGAGAGTTCATGCCGATACACGGATGATCGAATTAGCCCTCCGTCAAAAATTGACTCGACACAAATGCTGTAACCGATTGAACGAGATGAAATTAGAATGCAAAAAAAAAAAATAATTTCTCTGGGTCGGACACGTCGCCCCAACGATGGATAATTGTGAGACGCTCACTTTTTCATCCTGGTCAATCTTTTGCCTAACTGGTGTGTGAACATAAGTAGGCACACGCCCGTACGTTAATGGCACGCGTGGAAGGTGTGTACGCTATTTGAGTCGTATCATGCTTGGAGTTGATTGGCGCCGGTTTAAAGAAGGGTAAACATTCCAGTGCGAATGCACACTCTCGTGCGCATGGACGTAACAGATGGGCGCAGAGATGGGCGCACAAATGTGAAGAGCTCAATAGATTCACTTCTCACAAAATTAGTGCTCAGTTTAGTTCACCCCAGGAGTGCATTTTTTTTTTTTCTTTTTTCCTTTTCTTTTTTTTTTCTCTTCGGGAAGAAAAACACAAAACTACTAGCCACTTGTGTGCTTCATAAACAGAACAAACGCTTTTCTTCGTCGAAAGTAAAAGTTAGCTAGTCCTCCTCGAAAGTTACACACGTATGCCAAGACTATGACGAAATAAAAATTACGCAAAACATAATTGTTACAGTCATTTTCCCTAATCCCGTGTAACAAAATGAAGTCTCGTTTGTGTGCCCTCTTGATATTATGTAAGCATGAGAAGCAATAAAAGAGATGGACTACTCAATTTGTGCCTCCCATTTTATACATGGGAGTTCCCAAAATGAAAGCTTAAAATGGTACCCTTGTATACTGACGTGAGGAAAGCGGGGTTTATCCTGACATGGAAGGGCATCCCTTCATTATGCTTCCTTTTAATGCATTTCTCTTCAGATATGTTGCTGAATAGACACTCAGTGGAGTGCGCCACTACTCCAAGTAGTGGAACGGGAAGTGGAGTATCAAATACTGCAAGTGGCTCGTCAGAGCAGAATCCTTCCGAGGGTAGTTCAGCGGATGGCTCTTCCACTGGCACTAATAATACCTCATTACAGGGTCCAACCGATGTGAGGGGAGAAACAGGGACGCAAACAGGAAGCCTGGGTACTGCAGAAACTGGAACATCAACACAAGGTGGAAATCAACGTAATGTAGTTCCCACTACTCAAGATTCTCAACCCACGACTACCCAACCAGGTTCCACTCCTCAACCGGGTTCCACAACCCAAGGAGGTTCCAGAACCGAAGGAGTTCCCAGAACCCCAACACCTCCCGCTACCCACACACATCCCGCTACCCAAACACCTTCCGCTACCCAAACACCTTCCGCTACCCAGACACCTTCCGCTACCCAGACACCTTCCGCTACGCAGACACCTTCCGCTACCCAGACACCTCCCGCTACCCAAGTAGCGGCCCCTCTCCCTCCGAGCTCCCCAAATCCCATTCAGGTAAAATCGTCCTTGCTCAGGGACCACAAGGGGCTTAAAATCACAGGTCCATGCAAATCCTCCTACTTTCAAGTGTACCTGGTTCCCTATCTCTACATGAACGTGAACGCAGCAAACAGCGAAATTGAAATGGATCCCATGTTCATGAAGGTGGACAATAAGATCAAATTTGAGAGGGAGAAACACCTCTTGCAGAACATCTGTGCTGACAATAAAACATTTAAGCTCGTCTTGTACTTGGATGATGCGGAATTAATCATTAAGTGGAAGGTGTATCCTGCCAAAGGGCGATCAAGTAAGGAAGCAAAAGAAGACACAGGAATGTAACTGATATTGAAAGGGCTAATCGCCCCCCCTTGAGCGTACATCATTCACACGTCCATTCTGACCGCAATGCAACACGTTCCCTTTTACAGTTTACGATAGAACTGTCGATATTAGGAAGTACAAAATGAAGGATATTGGCCAACCTATCACCTCCATGCAGGTGATGGTGATGACTGAACAGGATAAAACGATTTTCGTGGAGAGCAAAAATTTCTCCCTGCTAAATGATATCCCGGGTAGGTTCCCATGGTTGTGTGGGATTACCTGATAATAGGAGCCCTCTAAAGTGCACGCTCGGGGCTTCAACGTATTAACACATGCATCCATTCCATGCGCGCTTCCCTTTTTTTTTTTTTTACAGAGCAATGTGACGCCATTGCCAACGAATGCTTCATGAGCGGTATATTAGACATCCAGAAATGCTACCACTGCACCCTGTTAATGCAGAAGAAGGATGATGTGCAGGAATGCTTTAAGTTTGTCTCCCCCGATATTAAAAATCGATTTGATGATATACAAACGAAGGGAGAAGACGAGGAAGATCCAAACGAAGTGAAACTTGAAGAAACAATTGATGACATATTTATCAAAATTTATAAAAAAGGAGAAAATCTTTATAAGGAGGTGGATCAGCTAGCCATTCTGAATTCCTCTTTTAAGTCTGAACTGTTGAAGTACTGCGCATTAATGAAAGAGCTGGATGCTAGTGGAGCGCTGGACAATCACGAACTAGGCAACGCCGAGGAAGTATTCTCTCACATAACCACCATGCTGCAGAGTAACAACGACCTTGATGCTTTTTCACTAAAGAACAAGCTTAGAAATCCATCTTTATGTTTGAAGAAAGTTGATCACTGGATTGGAGGCAAGACCGGGCTCGTACTTCCCAGCCTGAAGTATAACAGCGGGCAGAATAACGAAGACTCCTCTGATAAAAGCGAAGATAACACCTTCGATTCGATCACGCTCCAAAGTGTGGATGTGCATCCCTTACACGTCAAAGATAAGTTATTTTGCAATGGGGACTACTGTGATAGGACGAAGGACACAAACAGCTGCATGGCGAAGATTGAGGCGGGGGACCACGGCATGTGCGCGACCTCTTGGCTCTTCGCATCGAAGGTACACCTAGAAACAATCAAGTGTATGAAGGGGTACGAACATGTCCCAAGTTCTGCGCTCTACGTGGCTAATTGTTCCAATAAAGACGCGAAGGACAAGTGTCAAGTGCCGTCAAACCCGCTGGAATTTTTGGACATCCTGGAGGAGACAAAATTTTTGCCAGCCGAGTCGGACCTCCCATACTCTTACAAATCGGTGAATAACGTCTGTCCGGAACCGAAGA